CACGCATATTGCACAGACACAACCCAAATTAATACCCCCCGCCCGGATCGCAGATCCGGCGGGGGCTAAAAACACAGGGTAGATTTGGAGTAATATTATTTCATAGTTAAAACTGTTTAAGCTACACATATTATAACCGACACACACATGTCAACTTAGGCAGTGTGTCAATTCCCTAAAGCTGAGTTTTATATGTAGAAAAATGAAAATGTTCAAATACTTTTGTAGCCTGACAAGTTGGCGTAGGTGGCGCCCTGGACTGCTGCGATCATTCTCCAGACTCTCCACCTTATTTCGTAGTCTGACTGTACTGTGCAAGTTGTCGAAACATTTCTTGCACAAACTTCCACTGTGCTTTTCTCTTTCCAAAGAAACGGCAAAAATGCTATTCAAAACAGAGACCGTGTCGGACGACAAACTAGGAATTGCTGGAAAATATCGGTCTTCGGTTTTTTGGTTGACTTGACACATCGGATACCGCAAATTGCACACGATGTAGGTCCAGAGTTAATTCAAAAGTCGTCTTCACAGGAGTAATTTGTTGGTTGGAAAACTCGCACAATGATGTAGAGAACTCCATGTCTTCCTCCTAGAATATTCACTACTGAAGTAAATATTCATCGTAAGCTTGTTGACTTGTTATCTTTATCGTGCGTAATCTTAAGTGGCGTTTGTTTATATTTAGCACGTTGTAATCTATGACTGACAGAGTTACCATGACTACTTAAATGAATATTCATAACTACGCTACGGATTCTAGATCTGGGTGTGGAGTTTCTGTTTTGAAGTTGCCGACGAAAACTACACTATTCTGTCAGGCGTTGGTGGGGATCGCAGCAGTCCAGGGCGCCACCTATGCCAACTTGTCAGGCTAGGGTAAATGCTGCCGTTGAAAAGTGACAACTATTGGTGACATCACGTGGTTGTTTGCATGCTGATATATATTATGTTCTCCCAGGACGAGCAGCTGCTAGGTTACGCTCGGGCACAAGTTGTCATAGCCTTTTTTTCTCAACCGAGACTTCATTCTTGCTAATCTATCGGTAAATTCGGGGCAGTGCTTAACCGGTGCCCGAACAAAAAGCCCCTTCCTCCAGACAAGTGACAAGTACGACAACACGTCCCCGTCCAGATCGGTCCTACTCCGCCTGAGTTGAGTAGGTTGCATTTATTTCTAAGGGATATGATTCCATGCGTTACAAGAAGGACGTATTTCTAATTACTTCGTTTTCACTCGTATTTTGCAAGTATGGTTTAAAGGACAGCGGTCGTCGCGCCGCGTCCTGTTCGATATGGGACTCATAGCGACGTATACAACGCGTGTAAAACACATTGTTTATTTACATGAAATTCAAACACGTGCTGCGCGACGACCACCGCGCTTTAACTATATTTATTTACTAATAGCGCGCAAGTTGCAAGTAGGTGTATTTAAGTTTATGTTTGTTTACTAAAAACTTTGCGAGCACGATTTTTTTAAATTTTATTTGCTTTATAACTTACACATCGCAAATACAGCAATTTTTTAATATTTTTTTTACCAAATTTACTAATAACTCGTATGTTGCAAGACTATAGTGCGGATTATTTTTTTTTTGAATATTGATGTAAAATTTTTATTAGTAAATAAATACAATTGATTAGTAATTGCGCCGTGTTTACAAGGCAAGAGTTATTAGTAAATAAATATAAATCCGTTGTACTTACAACGTATGAGTAAAAAGGAAAAAAACACGTTTATTTTTGCAACACATAAATTGTCCGTGGAACTTTTTTCCTACTCTCTGTTTCACCAATGTTCGCTGTAGTATATACAATATATACAAGTATAACCTGAACCTTAACCCTAACAGGCCCACCCACAAGATAATATATTGTTTACGCCCCTCCAAATAACTATACGTGCTATGAAGAGAATTATCTATATTTAAATTGGGCGAGAGATACTGGAGGAGCGGAATTGGGTAAAAGTTTTTGTTGAGGGGCCTCAAGAAACTCATGTAAAATCACGTTGTGTTATTCATTAATATCCACATTTCGCCTGACTATTTTTTTTTGTTTCCACTAAAGGACTGTCCGAGGCAATAGATGTGTTGGAGAATGGCGGAAATGACGCAGCCGGTGGTTGTATAATTCTTGTCAGCGATGGCGAAGAGAACCGATCCCCATACATTGATGACGTCCAGTCGACGGTACGTGCAAACATCCGAAAGTAATATTTAAACATACCTATAACATTATGTAAAACTTAGCACATTATAAAATTACGCAAACATATCTACGGTCATTCGTTAAATACTAGAGTCCATCTCCCCAACTAGACCAACTGCTAGCTTCAGTGTTTGCGTAATTTTTACGTTTATCCCCATTCGTATCTGCCCTAGTTATAACACAGGGAGCCCAGGAACTATGATCAACTGTACGCACTCTCTATGAGCGGGGGGGGGGGGGTGTCGGCTGGTATCTAGTGTAACTCGGTTGGCCTTGCTCAACTGGTTCGTAACCAGTCTTGTGATTGGTTGTTGACAAATGCTGAACAGGCCACGCCTCCAACTGTTAATTATTCGTAAATGGAGTCAATTTGTGTAGTTTTCTT